CAACAAAAGCTGGATCCGCCCAAGGAAGTAGGAGTAATTTCGCGTCTGATGACTGTAGTGCCGAAGATCTAAGTCCCTTTTTTTCAGTGTTTCCTTAAATAGAAAGGATGAGAAGGGAAGGTGGACTTGATGGTGGAGGAGGCATATGAGAGTAAAGAGTGTGGTGTGGTGGCGTGGAGCACCTTGAGCGCGGCGAGGCAGTGGCAGAGGTGCGCGTAGGTCTGGGCGAAGTGCGGCTCGTCCACGGCCTTGTCGAAGACGAGGTCGATGACGGCGGCGAGGCGCGCGCGCGTGTCGATGCGCAGCGCGCGCACTTTGCCCACCAGCGTCTCGAACTTCTGCGGCGTCAGCTTGTTCAGGATGCCGCGGAACGTCTGGTACAACTCCTGCACGCATACGTGCACTCATCATCATCATAATACAATTTGTAACGGTGTAATTAACTTCAACAATCGATCCAAACTCCCGCCAGAAGTGCGCTTTTCTTTCTAATACGTCTGATTGACATTGACAGCTGTCAGAGGGGCCTGTATGTCAGTGATCTTTGACCCGTTCGCTAGCGCGATACCGATTTTCTTCTAAACAATGCCTGTCACATTTATTACAAACTAGCTGTTCCCGTGCAACTTCACCCGCATGGAATTATGAAAATTTTATTTTTTTGTTTCAATTTGTCAAATTTTCAATTGCAAATGTCAAAATGACATATGATGATAACCTTGCTTCCTTGATGTTAGCAGCAAATATATAGTCTAAAACGTGACGCACGTGTAAACCACGTTTTTTTATTAAAAAACGAATTATTCAAAAATATGGTGTAATTGCTGACATCTTAGGCATAAAGAAGTGTGTGTTTACGCTTTATTATAATAGTATAGATAGGCTGAGGTCCGTGCGCGGTACCTGCGAGGTGCGCTCCTCCTCGCTGAGGCCCTTGTTCTTGAGGCGCGAGGGCTTCCAGGCGTTCTTGGCCTGGCTGAGCTGCACCTCCTCCCGCGCCAGCGACACGCGGATGACTGGCTGCGCGGGCGGCGCGGGGGGCGCGGGGGGCGCGGCGGGAGCGGCGGGCGCGGGGGACGCGGGGGATGACGTCACCCTCCCCCCGACACCCCTGTCTGCAGACCAGTGCTATGTCAACTGACGTGTTCTACGGCTTACGGGCCAAAGAATTACAAAATGTATGACCTACGACCGCAAAAGGCCGTTTTTTTTTAAATCTAGAAGATATCATTGTTTCTATTTAATGAATTCTTTTTGAAATAACTTTTAAATGAAAAAAGTCGTTGGTAAACACTGATTTGTACAGGGAGTAATTAAAATCAAATAAATTATTTACGATTTTATATCACAAACAATTTTAACACACTTCATTGATTTTAAACGTTAAACGTTTAGCTAAGATTGAGTTTTTTAATGAAGTTACGGCCCATTGATGATTTTTGTCTGTGTGTTTTTTTTACACGATGTACGGTCGGATAAAAAATTATATTGGCAACACTGTACAATGGTACTGGTACCTTTTTTTACTATAAGGGGAGGTTTGTTAAAACTTGTGTAACTATCCATTCTATCCCTTCAACTAAAAATAATGTTTCTAGATACATTTGTCACTGTCTACCAAAACTCACTTTATAATCTAACTTCTAACTAATAATATAAATGTAAAAGTTTAGATGGATGTTTGTGAGAGTTT